TCCCTAGTTTTCTCAAGGACATGGATATAAGGGTAATTCTATTATATAATTTTTGTATATTATTAAATAAGTAGATATATTTAAGATTATGAATTTAAAATAAATAAAAAATAATCATTTAAATTATATAAAAAACTTATTTAGAAATTATTTTTCTTTTCTTAATAAGGAATAAATTAATTAAGTAGATAGGGGAACACTTTCCATTATTAAGAGATTCTCTTTGCTCTAATAATTTATAGGCAAAACCATAAGTTAAGCCCCTAGACTTTAATTGATGCAGTTAAGCCCTTAAACTCTAGGATCAAAGCAATTAAGCCCTTCTTCTTAAGCAATGTATTTTAAAAATTAAAGGCTAGGGGCTTAATAGCGTAAGAAGAAGGGCTTAAGTGCTTTGATCACAGAGTTCAAGGGCTTAACTGCATCAATTAAAGTCTAGGGGCTTAATAGAGATTCTGAGATTAGTTCAGGGGCTTAACTTATGGTTTTGCCTAATTTATATCTTATAATTTAATACCATTTGAGCAATATGTGTAAGTTGTATAAGGTGAGTGGAATTTTAATAACGATGGGAGTATTGTAAATATGAGTTAGAATACCTCTTGTACTCTATATTAATAATAAAAAAAATTTATTTGGCTGATAAAAAAAAATGTGTAAGTTGTGAGAGCAAAGGAAGGGTTAGAGAATGTGAGAAAATTTTTTTATTTAATTATCAAAAGAATTAAAGGAGAGGAGAAGAAAATGCAGTATTTTAATTTTTTTAATTCATTTCTTTATCTAAATAAGGGGAAAGAATTTCATTCTCCTCCTTTTTCCCTTCATTCATTTCAACTTAAATATATAGTAAGTTATTAAAGTACTCTAGTATTTAAATAAGTAAATATTATAATTATAATATCATATAAAATTATAAATCTATAATTAAAATATATCATTGAATAAGTATGATATGTTATAGAATAAGTAAATATATAGAATATTAAGGGTGGATTTTTAATTATATAATGACAAATCATGTTATAAGTTTATAATATTAT